AGAAGAAGACTAAACTACCCCTATTCGACACATCTTAACAAATATAATACATTATCAAGTTGGGCCCGAGCCTGAGCCTGCGGGCATAAAATCTTGTCCAAGCCCGACTTAGATATGGTCGGGCCGGCCCATCGGGCTACTTGGCCCATGAACAGGTCTTTTCTCAATGGATAGATCCAAAGCCCCAGGACTAGATGGCTTTACAAATGGCCTTTTACTAGGATTGCTGGGAAGTTGTAAGAGATGACTTGATTGAGGTCTTCAAGGAATTTGCAGAGAACCAAACAATCAAGGGCTTTTATTCAAGGGAGGCAGATAGCTGATCAGATTCTAGTTGCTAACGAATGTGTAGAGGATTTGAAAAGATCAAGGGGGAAAGGCTTTGTCTGTAAGTTGGACCTAGAGAAAGCTTATGACAAGGTGGATTGGACCTTCCTTATTGAGGTGATGAAAATTGTGGCTTTGGGGAGAGATGGTGTAAATGGATCTTTGGTTGTGTTAAATCTTGCCACTACTCTATTTTGGTTAATGGGATTGTCAAAGATTTCTTTCCAACTCGTCGGGGCTTGAGGAAAGTTGATCCTCTCTCACCCTTTCTTTTTACCCTAGTAGCATATGTGTTTAGTAGAATGATTTTAAAGGCCGATAGGGAGACTTTAACAAAAAGGTGGAAGGTTGGAAGAAAAAAGGTCCCAATTACTCATTTGTAGTTTGCTGATGATATCATAATCTTCTGTGAGGGTGGAGAGCAAAATTTGGTAAGGAATTTGAAGGAGGTGTTGTAGAATTTTGAGCTTATCTCTAATATGAAAATCAATTTGGATAAGAGTTGGCCGTTGGCCATTGACCTAAGAGAACAACGGCCGTTGACCTAAGTGAACAACGGACTCCAAATATTTTGGAGTGTTCTATTGCTAGTTGGCCGTTAACCTACCTAGGACTTCCTCTAGGTGCAAATCCTATGTAAAGTAGGTTCTGGAACCCCATAGTGGAGAGATGTGCAAAGAAATTGGCAGCTTGGAGGAGGAATTATGTATCATTGGGAGGAAGGATTACTTTGATCAAATCCACACTTGCTAACCTACCAATCTATTTCCTATCAGTGTTTAGAATCTCCCAAAAAGAAGCCAAGAGAATTGAGAAGATTATGAGAGACTTCTTGTGGGAGCTGGGCGATGGAAGGATGGATCATTTGGTTAAATGGGAGATTGTGTGTAGAAATCTTCAACAAGGAGGATCGGGTATTGGTAGAGTGGAGAAAAAGAATGAGGCTCTATTAGGGAAATGGCTTTGGAGGTGGTCAGTGGAACGGGACAGATTGTGGCATGAAGTAATTGCTAGCATACATGGAAGGTTGGGATGCAGGTGTATCTAATGGAGCTACTTTGGCCTCGCCTTCGAAATCTATTCACAACATCCTACCTCACTTTCTCTGCTTCATCAGGTCTGATTTATGCTCTGGGACTTCTGTTAAATTTTGGGAGGATATTTGGATTGGTTCTCGTCCGTTAATGGAAAATTTCCCCGCTTTTTACTTGGTTTCTTTGTATAAAAATGAGTTTGTTTCAAGGTTTGTTGTTTCCTCTTCAAATCTGGATTTCGTAGAGGTCTTAGGGATAACGAAATTTTGGCTTGTTTGGACATGCTACAACTCCTTCAAAATGTTTACTTGGAACCCGGTAAATCTGATAAGCGGATTTGGGCCCCCAACCCTAAGGGATTGTTCTCTTGTGCTTCTTTGTTAAAGACATTTTGTGATTCCTCAGTTCCTTCCTTTCCAGTCAAAGAGTTTTGGTGTAGACCCATTCCAACCAAGGTAAGCGCTTTCTGCTGCGAAGTAGTTCACGAGAAGATAAATACTATGGACCTGCTTCGAAAGAGAAGACCTAATTCGTGCCTCTCCCCAAACTGGCGTGTCTTATGCAAATCCAGTAATGAGAGTTGTTGTCACTTACCAATTTCCTGCCCCTTTGTTGCAGAATTTTGGCTTTGGTGTTCTTCATTGTTTGGGTGCAGGTGGACGTTACCTACGGAGGTTACTATGCTATTTGATCCATCCTGTTTTACTTGGCCTAAGAAGAGAGGGAGGATAATGTGGAGATGTGTCAGAGCAGCCTTGGTTTGGACTATTTGGGAAGAGAGAAATGCAAGAATCTTCTCAGAGAAGGAGAGAAGCAAGAAATCAGGATTTGTGTGATGGTTAGGGTGATCCACTGGATCAAGACTCTGAAGTTGTTCTCCCAGTTCTCCTTTGATGATATTTGGAGGAATTGGGAGATAGTCGCTAAAAGTTCTAAGAGAAAGGACAGAGTGGTGGTGGTCTGGACACGACCAACTGGTGGTTTTGTTAAACTGAACTTTGATGGGAGTAGACGAGGTAATCCAGGCCCATGTGGAATTGGAGGGGTGGTGAGAGATGGAGAAGGTAAAATAATAGCAATGTTTTCTGGCCCTGTGGGTATGGGGGACTCTCTCAAAGCTGAATTGCTTGCTGCAATTCAAGGGGTGCAGATAGTGAGCTGAATTTGACAAATGTGGTGATAGAAGGGGGTTCAAAAGTGGTGGTAGAATGGCTAAGGAACCCAGAGTCTATAATGTGGTGCTACAGGAGTGAAATGAAAAAAATTATTTGACTAACCAGGAATATGAATTTAAGGATACAATGGGTGAGAAGATCAGCAAATGGGATGTCGGATGCCTTGGCCAAACAAGGGGCGAACAGATCTAGTCTATTCAGGGTACAATTGTAATATGCTTTTACTTGTATGAGAGGTAGCAGCTCGTGCCTCTCTAAGGGATGATTCTAAAGTCTATACATAAAGTTTTAATAAATCTCTAATTATTCATCAAAAAAAAATATTGTTCTTATTAGCATGTTATCCTATATGTTGAATGATGGGATGAGAGATCCATCCTATGGACGCCCAAAAGATTGCGGAATAAGGGTTGAATTTCAAAAATTTTTCTCTCCCTTCAACTGGGAATCGTATTCCCCATTTAGAAAATCATATTTTCAAGGATCAATTCTGAACCATAAACTGAACC